AAATATTATTATTAATATTATTCATAGTATTTTGTTATAAATGTTGCGAAAGGAAAAAAAAAAGAATGAAAGAAAGTAATACCGAGCAGAGGAAGAAGGGAGATTCGTTCTTCTGTAAAGGAAAAAAAGAAAAAAAAAATAATACAGGTAAATATATATATATATATATTCCACGCGATATTAAATATATGAATAATAATAAACGTTCACATTTTAATAGAAACAAAATTTCTTTTCTCGTCGAATTTTTGTTTTTCATCTTCGTTGTGTCTCTCCTATTTGTTTTATTATAATATAACTTTTGCCCTCCCCTCCACCCCACCACTTTTCGATCACGATCCATATTTATATTGTATAGATCATTTCATTTTCGTTATATAGGATATATCACCTGATCAAATTGTGACTTTATTTTTACATATTGTATAGATTATGTGTATTATATAAATTTGTTATGTTAAAATTTGTGAAGAATATCAAAAGAAATGAATCCACACATACAGAGGAAAAAAACGAAGATGGATTATATTAAATGGTAAGTATATTTATCTCTTGGTTATTGAAATTTTTCATGGGGGTTCTTTTTTTCGTTTAAAAAATCATATTAATTATCTTGAATACTCTGACGTATTACACAGTTAATATGTTATTAATATAAATATTGTATTATTAAATGATATATTCTCTTTGATAATCTTCACTCTTTCTTTGTTTTATAATTAAATTGAATTATTTACGTATAATTTAGACGTATAACATATTATGACATCGATTAATAAAAAGGCCTTATTTATTATCGATGAGAATAATTTTTGTTTAGGTGTAAAAAGTTCAACAACACTTTTGAAAATCGATAATAAATTGACGGATGGTGTGTTATAAATATGTGGACGCGTAAAAACATTCTTCGATCATTTGTTGTTAATGTAAAATTAATCGTAATATTCAATCGAATGAAAAGCAATTTTCATGAAATCGAACATTTGTGACAACTTTGTTTATTCGAATTCAATTTCGCGTCATTCTCCAGATCCGTTTGTTTTTGAATGGAATCTGAAAAAAAAAGAAGATAATAATAATAATATAAGAAAAATAAAGTCAGGAGTAATTTTGTATTATTAATTATACGGTTTATTGTAAAAGAAAAAATAAATATATAAATAATTTTTTCATTACCAGCTAGACTCTTCTTGTTAATCGTTCGTAAAGTTTTGCATAATTCTTTAACTAATGGTGTTTCCGAATTTAATCCCGAGGCCCAAATCAACAACATCCGAAATCCGTGTTCCTTGTAACTCGAGGAACCTACACAACATTAATTATAAAATCTTTTGCAAAATCGTTATTAATTTATTACGATATTGTTTAATCATTTCTTTTGAATTCTGGCTACTTTCATATATGGGACACCTTGTATAATAATCTATAATAAATAGTACATACAAATAGTATTTAAAATTTGATTAAGTAAAAACCTAAAACACACACAGACATACACCCTTGTTGTATATATTTGTTTAATTAAATATAATGAATAAAATTATGTTGATTGAGTTTTCGTTAAAGAAAAATTCGCATCGAATGACGAAAATAATTGAATAAACAAATATGTTTATATTCGTAATAATAATAATACTTTAATTTCATCGGAATAAAATAATAGAAAAATGAAAAATTATACCAGTATACTGATGTTCAATAGCCCTAATTTGTTCGTGACTGAAAGCCCAATGTTGGGCCATTTTCTTCCAATCTCCTGGTCCCAATTGTTTATACGCCAGCTTCCACAAAACTGATCTAATCGTTTCGGTGAGTGCACCGTTACCATTATTCATATTTTCCATAAACACACCTCGAGTATCTTCCCTCCAACGTCTTCGTGCTGGTGTTAATTCGCGAATTTCTTTATCCGAGTCCGAATTTTCCTAATGAGAAAATTGAAATCATTTATTAAAATAACAAGAGAGAACCAACAAAATGAATAAATAAATTTTGTTAGTCTAATTTCGAATAATATTTCAACTCACTGGTGTCGGATAATCCAATCGAGCAGTTTTAATAATCATATCAACTATTGCAGTAAAACTACCCCTTGCTGCAACGTAAAGTGGTGTTCTACCACTCTGAAATAAATGATCGATAATGATACAATAAATAATTGAATTTATAATGAAAGAAAATTACAAAAGAAAGAAATATGGTGGGGTGTTAAATGAATTATTTATCATTATTGTACCTTTTCTTTTTGTTCGATATTTGCACCGGATGCCAACAAAAGTTCGCATATCTCGGTGTGTCCCATTTCTGCTGCAATGTGTATCGATGATTGCAATCTCTATGAATATAAATAAAATAAATGTTTAAATAAATAATATTTATTACATTTTTTTTTGTTCAAACAGATTTGATTCATCTAGATCAGGGCTTCTTAAACTTTTGTCATTCACGACCCCATTTATGATTGCGAGTTTCTTGACGACCCCATTTATGATTGCGAGTTTCTTGACGACCCCATTTATGATTGCGAGTTTCTTGACGACCCCATACAAATATTACTGCTGTCGGTGGAGATAGCTCAAAACCTTCAACAAATGCACGTGTCTAGACGCTGCAAGTCCACTGTATTCCGTCAACTCTAGTGATGTTATAAAATGGTATATATAAATATTTGACATTAAAATCTCTCGCGACCCCAGAATTTTGCTACGCGACCCATAGTTTAAGAAGCCCTGATCTAGATGAATACTATAAACTTAATATCGGACCCCCTTTTTGTTAATTATCATAGATATTATTTGACTACTTACCAAGTTGAAACTATTAATATCAACGCCTTTGTTTATTAATATTTCCACCGTGTCCACTTCGTTATTTTGACACGCCAAGTGTAATGCAGTATTCCCGTTCTATATGTAAATTAATAATAATAAAAATATATATTACATGCACGCGTAGTTGTTTATTATCTTTTGACATAAAAATATATTTTATATATTATTTATAAAAATTTATATACACATTATATAACGGGGTGTCTTGTAACTGTTGGATACAAACGATCAGAGAATGATTCTATTATAATTATACGAATAAATTAAATTAATAATGTGTAGAATAATATTTAGAACAATTTTGTCAAATAATTTTACGAATAAGATTTATCATTTCATTCAAATTATTTGATATAAAAAATAGAGATATTATTATTATTATTATTATTATTATTCGTCGATAATATATTTATATAGTTTTATTCATGCATCATCTCACCTTGCACTTTTTATTCAAGGCTGCACCATTTTGTATGAGTAATTCCAAAATACCCTTGCAACCGTGACTCGCTGCTAGGTGAAGCGGAGTGAAACCCATCTGAGAAGTTTTATCATGATACCATGGTCTAACGTTTCTCTAATCTTTTTTTTTTACCCTTAAGATTCGTTTAACATTTTAAGGTACGAACAAGTTGAATCGAAATTGTTAAAATGTGAAAAAAAAACAAAACAAAACCGGATATAGAAATGATTCTGAATCAATTTTTCAAAAATCATAAACGGATCGAAAGAAAATTTAAAAGGAAATATATTTCGTAGAAAAAATTTGATAAAATTCGACTAGTACAAGAGGAGGAGGTATAATTAAAGTTTCTATTTTTATTTAGTTAGAAAAAAAATACTTTTTCTTTTAGAAACTTAGTTGAAGAAAATTAGAATTATTATTCTAGAAAAATCTGTAGAATTTTTCTGTTAGTTCTTTCTGTACTTTGCTTTTAATTTTAAAAAGTTGAAAATAAAGTAAGAATTAACAAATAAACTTGGATCGATCGGACGTATTCTCCATTATCTGAATTATTTAACAAGATCAATTATTGATATACCTGATCGGTCAAGTCGATGTTTGCTCCAACTTTCAATAGAAGCTGAACCATCTCGATTTGCCTCATTCGTGTTGCCACATGAAGCGGAGTATTTCCTTCATTGTCTTGAGCATTTATGTTAGCTCCTAATTCAATCAAAACCTTTACGGCTTCTAAATGTTCCTCGGTGCAAGCACAATGTATCGGTGCTTGTCCTTTCTAAAAAAACAAAAAGAAATTTTATCTAAATTTTATTGGAAACATAATAAACGATATATTTGACGAAACAAACAATTCTTTTAATTTACAGGAATCCGAATGTGAAGAGAATATCAGTATTATTTTAATTTCATTTTATAATTAACAATAAATTAAATTTGTTCTAGTTTATACAGTGACTCGCGAAAATGTTCGAATGTTTAAGTATTCAGACATTAAAAATTCAAAATATATATGTTAGATTTAAATTGTGAAAGTAATGTTGCAACTATTTTAAGACACAACTATTAAGATCACGTATACAAAATTTTTAATGAATCGGATAATAATTATTAAAATTATTAATTATT